CAATACGTGCTGAAAATTTGAGCTTGATCGGTCGCACCGTCTTCGAGAATCAGAAAGCGTCAAAAAAGAGGGGGGGGGGGTACCCTAAACTTTTAAACATGAGATCGTGTAATGCATACATTTTTTTTACAGTCACAGTTAGAGTAGGATTATAATTTAGAAAACATAGATGAAGTTTCAGTGGAATTGCAATGCAATTTGGAAAATACACATGAAGTTAAAGTAGCATGTAGACAAAAATAGTTCATCCTTCTGTGTATGACCATTCTATTGACGAGTCAAAAATGATTTATAATTGTTTGTGCTTTTATTATTGAAATATTCTGAAAGTAAATAATTTTTTTGATTAGTGACTTAAAATATTGTACACTTTTTGTTCGAAATTCTCCAATGAATTGTGATAGTGTGAATGAATTAAATTAAATAAAAACTGAATCTCAGAGCATATCAAGTTTGTTATAACATGAGAAGAATTTAAAAAAATACCTCGAACTGCTTTAGGATATTAAATATTCATCAAAAATAAACGTTCATTTGATTTGATATTTTTACTATTGATGATAATACAGAATAATAGTTGTTTTATTGCTTTATTAAGGATATGAGAATCTCTATTCTAAAGAAAAGCATGACATTTTTTGACTAATATATAGATAATGAATATTTTTATAAAATTCAGGATATAAAACAAGAAATATATCAGTCATTAAGACATTGGTTTTACAAAAAAGAACACTGAACTCAACATAGAGTTGTCGGCTTGTTGAAATTTAACACTGTTACGTTTTTTAAATACTTTTTTCAATTATCTCGGAAGATTTCAGACCTAGAAATTCCCTTCAAGCATCTTTCGACACAGCTTATCATACTCTGTCTATATTATAAGAATGATCTTGTCTGCCTGAAGTCTTGACTTTCTAGGGAGATTTTATCCTCGCGTAGCGCTGTTACATAAAAAGACTGAAATATATCTAGAATCAGTTTTGTAGAGTGTCAAACAGGCTTTTCAGCTGTAAAAATATTTTTTCTTTCAACTATTTTTGTTCAGATAAAAAATGCAAAAACAAATGCAACGCTGTTATACAGTTTTTTATCGACCAATTTTGAGGCATTTAACGTGTTCAAGAATATTTAATTTCCATATATATTGGTCTTTTTTTATACATCTAATCATTTCACGCAAGAATCAAGCTCATTAACTAAGCAATAAGTTGAAAACTGTACAAATTGTTCATAATGATGAAAGTCAAAAATAAATAGAACGTTTTTTAGAGAATTAAATTCTGTATCGATTGATATTTCACTCAACGTTTTTTAAAAAGTTTCTTGGTTATGAAATTCAAAATACGATTTTCGATACAAAAATCCAATTGTTTTTAAAGAATAAACGTCAAATTTGTAATTAGCATGAAAAACTTCACCAGCAGTGTCCTGTTACGTGGACAAGTTGTTGCACCGATTCCTTCTGAGAACATGATATCTAAGATTTTTTTTTGTTCTTTATTAAGATTGTAGCTCCTATGAATTGTTTATATCAACTATGAACATTTTGCTTTGCTTTATCTGAAACCATAGTCGAAATTTATGAAATATAAAAGAAGATTTTCGGAATCGGTTTAGCTTCAGCAAGAGCGTTCAAAACTGACACAAAGGATTATTATGAATTCTGTGATTCTTTATACTGGAAATATTCTAAACTCGAATTAGAAATTAAAGGAATTGGTTTATCTTTGTTGACAAAAACATATACATAGTAATGAGAATTATTGAAATTTTAGTAATTCTTTATGTCAGCTATAATCAATCTTGATTCGAAGCTATTCTTAGATTTTGTTGAATGAAAAATACAGATATCATGAATTAATAGATTTCTAAGGCGGTATCAACATGTACTTTTCTATCCTAAAGTTCGACTGTCTTAGGCATGATAAGAGGATTTTAAAAAATACATTTCTAGGATTTCTCTCTTTAATCTAAGATGATTGTTGATAATAAAATAAAATATTTTAGGTTGAAAAGTCAAAACATAAGCGCATTATGAATTCATCTTTACAATTAATTCTAATAATATTTCATTAATTATTTAGATAGACGACGTCTGGTTTTCATGACCTTAACTAAATAGTATTTTCTCAAGTTCTCAAGTAATAAATTACCTATTTATTTATTTAATAATTATTTTCAATTAAAATTATCAATAAATTAATAATAAAAAAAAGTTCAGTATAATTCTTTGTTGAGACAAGAATATCGGTAAATATTCTATTATAAATTATCACTAGTTTTATCAATTCTAGAAAAATTTATTTATTGCGTTGAAAAAATTCATTAAGATTTAGAAATTTTAGAAAATGATTAATTATTATTTTGATCTGCTTAGTGTTATAGAATTGATGCTTTCAATACCTATGAAAAATTTATCGTTGCTTTATTCAATCTCATAAATACACAAATATTTACTGTAACTTATTATTCAAAATTTGACTTCGTCATTACACAGGAAAATATTTTAATGTAAGAATTAGCATATCTTTTAAAAATGATTCACTAAAAACGTCACTTTTTAAATTCTTGAAACCCAATAGAATGTATCCAGTAGATTTCAGGATTTTTCTATAAATCCTGTTATATATAATTATATGCTATCATCAAATAAAAGAACCTAGGCTGAAGACAAGTGTCTAGTTAAGGGTGAAGGCTGAGTCTTGAGAACTATGACTCTATTTTCATACAATTAAAAAGTATTATATGCTATCAGTAGATAACTCCAATAAATCTCAAAAAAAGTCTCCGTATCCTCACTTAATGAGTATAACCAGAGGATCTCTGCTTCTTCTGCGGACATGGTTAAAGGGCTGTCCCCTCCCTACAACTATTTTTGCTTATGAAGATAATTCATTCACAACGAAATCATGAAAATAAACTATTTAATCAAGTTATTAGACTTATATATTGCTCTAAAAATATTTATTGCATAAATTATTATTTATTTTAATACGATAAATGTCTTAACGACAATTTTATTTCATGTTTATTTTATGAATATACAGAAACAATAGTTCATTTGTTGAACATATCTTAGTAAAATATTAATATAATAATGAAAAAGAGAAGCTTGTTATTTGTTGGAATAAACATGACTTTTACTTGATCCTGAAAGGCATAAAAAGTCAAAGTATTATTTTTTCTACAAGAAAAGAAAGAACAAAAGCAAGAAAAGCATTTAGTAAGAATAATATTTCAATAGAATCATAATGAGTTCTTCTACGATTACAAATATTATTCTTCTTAGTGAAAAATATACACTCTATACAAATTATCTTATATTCATTATTGGAATTATTGGAAATATTCTTAATATTCTTGTTTTTACGGGTTTGAAAATCTTTCAAAAAAATCAATGTGTTTTATATATTATAACCGAATCAATATCAAATATATGTCAATTGATTATATTCTTTCTTATACATTTATTAATGCTCATATATAAAATTGATCCAACAAATTCAATACTTTTCTGGTGTAAATTTCATGCCATGATGATTGCATTATGTACATTAATATCATTTTCTGCAATATGTTTTTCTGCATATGATCGATATATTTCAACAAGTCCTCAATTTAATTTAAGAAAATTAAGTACAATTAAATTGACTGAAATTCTTATATTTACAACTATGAGTATTTCACTATTACATAGCATTCCATTTTGTATTTTTATGGAAATTCGAGATTCTGTCTGTAGTGTTTTCAATCCGATGATGTCTCGATATTTATCTTGTTTTTATTATCCAATATTATCTGGAATTCTACCTATTTTTATAGCATCATTATTTAGCATCTTAGCATATCGTAATGTTAGACGAATAGTTCGACTTCAAATGCCAATAGTTCGCCGACAACTTGATCAACAATTGACAGCAATGGTCCTTGCTCGTATTATTGTATTTGTTATTTTAACATTACCTTATGCTCTTCAAAGAATGTACATATATCTTCCGAAGGTTGGTAAATCGAATCTTTCGCGAATTGCAATTGATAATCTATTAGGAAGAATTATGAGTTCATTTTTCAATCTAAATTATGCGGTAAGGTATTATAAATGATAATTTTCTTTTTTTTTGTTGTTGTTATATTATATAATGTATTTTTGTTTAGGGATCTTTTTATATATTCATGATATCTTCATTACGATTTCGTCATCAGATGAAAAATATTTTGATAAAAAAATTTTGGCGACGATGTAAACGATGGTCCTGTAATAAACATCAAATTTATCCAATTGTCTAGATATGATTAGTTAATTCTTGTCTTAAGCTAGAATGAAATGATCTTGGCAATAAATTTTATTATAAATTTCAATAAAGTTTGCTTTATTTTTTCATATCAGCTATTTGTTTCTAATTTGTACTAAATAATTACTATTCATTTCAAAATATAATGCGCAAAACATCTGAACTAAGATGTGTGCAATTTAAAATGTCTGAAAATTAGTTGTTTTCTTTTTATGCATGATTTAGTCGAAAGAATGAAGCTATCTGAGAAAAGTGCTTCTCTAATCTTAAAAATTAGGTTCTTCATAATAAAAAAAACATTGTAAAATCTCAAAAATTAGATTTCACTGTAGGAACAAATGTCAACTTTTCATGCAACCGTGAATAAAATAAGAAGTGATGTAAGAGTCTTTAGAAAAATGTCATACTCTTTTTGACCATGTTGCCAACATCTGAACCAATGTATTCTTTTTTTTTTTGTTAAACAGAGTAATATGTGAACTACCAATTTTGTACAAAACATTTTCCAAGATGAATCTAAGAAGGAGAAAAAGTCAATAACAAAACATTTCTAAAAAAAGTCCTTGCAACTTTGTCATCATGCAACATTATTTTTCTATTTTCCGGTAATTTTTTTAATATCAGAATTGAAATAAAAAAAGTATTTTTAATGAGAATTTTTGTAGCGTCAAGAGTGCGCTTTCCAATGGTGTATTGGAAGTTAAATTTACTCTTGACTTTTTGCAAAAAAAATAGTTATTCCTGAAAGAGACTATAATTTCGATGTTCTTTCTACCTGATCGTTTTGCGACAATAAAAAAAAATTTTCTTTGAATTGTCTTTTCCTACTAAGTATCTATAGTCTGACACGCTTCGAACAAATAACGTACTAAGAATTCAGTTCATACGTTTTTTTTTTTTGGAAATTGTGACTGATGTCGTTACAACTTGATCGTTCTTAGAAAACTCTATTTTACAAAAAATTTCAATTTCCAAATATTTTTAACTAAGGAATCAAGAACGGGTCTTGAAAAAATTAGAAATACGATGTAACAGAGCGTAAAATTTTTTCCCACGGCTATTGAATCACCTTTTTTTTTATTCTTCGCAACTGTATCAATATATTTCCCACTTTATGACTCAACATTGATTCGGAAGTAGTATAGTATCAATATGACTCCTGTCGAATCAGTTTTGTGTCATGAAGTGGGAAGAAATATTTATATGATTAGAAGAAACGAAAAAAAATTATATTCATGATAGCATGAAAAATTGACAATTTTTTCTATAGTGGAACCTAAGTTTCGAGATTTTACGATGTTCTTTTTTTGAAGAACCTACTTTTTAAAATTAGAGAAGCACTTTCTGTAGATAATTCAATTCTCTTGAATCAACCATGCATAAAAAGTAAAAAAGACATATTTCTGAATATTTTACATTGTTTGTTTTTTAATATCTTCTAAATGACATCACTTTTTAATTGATGGTCTTATTTACTGTAAAGTCAAGATAACAGAATGTTGTTTTTGATATAAAATTTGATTATTTTCTAAAATGGTTAAATGATCAGTAAAAGATTGATTAATTTTCTCATATGATTCTGTTTCAAATACTCCATCAAACTTCTTCGTTTTCTTGTGCAAGTCAAATCAATAAACGATTCTTTTTCATTTAATGTCATTGTCGATTTCTTTTCGAATTTCGTTTTCAAACCATGAACAACATCCATTCAATACACTCACAACTGCTTAACTTAAATTTATTGTATCTTGACAAAAGTGAGACTATCGAGTACTTTTTTTCATTGTTCTAGAAAAAAACCATATAAAGATGAACTACAAATAGAATTGAAAATTATTATTTCATCTTCTTTATGATCATCTGAATTTCAAAACCTTCTTTGTCTTTCTTCTATCTCTAGTGATCAAAATACATATGATCTTATTTCTTACACTTCATTGTTTTATCTAAGAATCTTTATTTCTTTGAATGAAAGTTTTCCAAAAAACAAATTTGTTCCGTATGATATTAGTACACCATGTAATGATTCTCTTACTCAACTAAAATTCACAATTTAGTCAATAAATTAACAAAAGTGTTGATTATAGTCTAGATGGTATAACGATAAAGTATGATTGAACTATTCTGTACAAAATAATGCATATTATTGTTATCATTGTTGTTAATTTTCTTCGAAAAACAAAAAAATCATTGATGTTTTTCTCACTTCAGGATTTAATAATAGTAAGAAAGCATTGGAAAAAGGTAGTGACATAATAAAACATGCATTATCTCTATGGCATATAGTTGGAATAAAAAATTATTTATCATATAAACAACAAGAAGAAATCAAGTCAAATGTTATTCACCAGTTGCATTCTTAATGAGTCAAAAATTCGAAAAAATTTCGTCACATCTTTTCATATTTTGAGAGTTTAGAGACTGAGCTCCTCTAAAGAAAATTCCTACGACCGCTGCTATCCTGCACGATATGACATTTCAATAGATATAAAGTAATAATGAATTATTAGTGCATACATATCATCAAGTAACTCATAATCGTACAGAAACTATTAAAACTTCAATTATTAAACTTAATGGTAATGAAAAAAAAAGGATTTTGTAACTGCTCTTAACAGGGTTGTCGATTGTTTTTAAGAGAGGGGGGGGTTAAATTTTTAGCAGACAATGTTCTCATTTTTCTGGCATGAAAACTGTTGACCGGGAAGGAAGAGGGAAGAAACGACACCAGTTTTCACTAGGTCGTACCGTACCTCCCCTCGGGCTCCCATACAATCAGCCATTTCTCCCAGCAACCATAAAATATTGGCAGACAGTATTAAAAATTTTCGCAGACAGACACACAATTTTGGGAGGGGATAGCACCCCCCCCCCAATCGGAAAGCCTGGTCCCAGCGGAATTCGGACTAGATCAGATTTACCGGTATCAAAAGATCGTGGTCTTGCACATCTCTAATTAGGAAACTTATTTCTAATGTGTATGCTTGTGAAATAGTTGCATTTATATTTTAGGCATGAATTATATTGTTATGAATTTCTCATATTTAGATCTTTCAAACCATTTTTACCATTACTACATTGTACTCGACTACCAGTCGTACAATTATGGGCCGTATGGGCTATTCATCATGTCTGTAGTACAGATCGTAAGTATATAAATATTAGAATAAAAACAAAAAAAGAAAATAATTTGCTTTTGTTTTTTAAGGTGCTCGATATAGTAGAATAATTCGTGAAGAAAAAATTTATGACATAATGCAAAAATTATATGATGAACAATCTCTATTTGAATATCCCGATCTATTGATGATTCAATTATTGAAATCAATTCTTCATTTTCTTAAATCATATCATTCAAATCGTCATCAATTTTCTTCTGCAGTTGCTAGTTAATATAAAATCCTTTTGTATTTTACTATCACATGTCTATATTAAATCTAATTCTTGTAAAAAATGAATGTTTATTTGTTTTTTAGTAAAAACAATGTTAACAGTGAGTCATGTAGCTTCGCTTTTTTTTCGAGAAAAAAAGTAGAGAAAACAACATTCAGTTACTTTGGGTGATCTCGATTTTTTCTTTTTCGGTTGTTTGTTTTTTCTATTCAATCCAGCAAACGTATTCTTTTCTGAAATTAATCCTGCGAATATTTATTGTGCAATTTTTGTTTTCTTTTTCTGTTTATCAAGGTATTGAAACGGGAAAGAGACGTGTCTTTGTATATAATTTACAAAAATGTATATATTCTATGTATGCGTTTGTGTATAACTTTGATTAACTCAGCCAGGCATTTCATTGTGTGTATGCTTTGTTTTGTTTTTTTTTTTTGGAAGAATTTTTTATAGAAATAAAAGAAGTCAAGATTGCTTATTATTATTATTATTTTGTTTTTTGTTTCTTTCTGTTAGTTTTCTTCAGATTTAAATATGGCAGCACGAGGTCCACCAACAAAAGTACAAAAAGTAATGGTACAACCCATTAATTTAATATTTCGATATTTACAAAATCGTTCACGTATACAAGTTTGGTTATATGAACAAACAACAACACGTATTGAAGGTTATATTATTGGTTTTGATGAATATATGAATCTTGTTTTGGATGATGCTGAAGAAATTTTATTAAAAAAAAATCAACGAAAAAAAATTGGAAGAATTTTACTTAAAGGTGATAATATTAGTTTAATACAACAAATACAACAAACAGGAACACAAACGAAATGAGGTCATTCTATAACAATAGATTTACTTTCTGTATTTGTGTGTAGTCGTTTTTCTTTTTTTTTGTTGTTCTCTCGTTTGTTGTCTTTGTATCTAACCATGAAGAATAAACATACTTATTACTGTTATCATCATTATCGTTTTTATTTTATTTTATTTTTTGTTGAATAATGCAGACGTGTTAAAAAGCAAACCACTCATTCTCTAGTGAGTAAATTTTGATAAGAGAACAGAAAGCTTATTCAATAATGAATATAAGTTCCGCATGGTAGATAGGGTTTTTTCTCTCTTCATAAAAGCTTATAAAAATGATGCATTACTATCTTTAATTACTGACGTCATTTTGAGTGTTATGCAAACTTCATAAGTCATACTATGAGTAATGATTTTTATGTATTCTATCTTTAAGGTAATCATTTTACAATTTACAAAAATTTATTATATATTTCTTATTTATTCTTTTTCTAGGAACACTAAATCAACTATTATACAACAAATTTTCAAATTTGTTTAAGACATATTTATGATAAGTTAAATATAGTAAATGTATCAGATGAACTATCAAAGAAATCTTTGCAACTTGAAAGTCACTTTTGAGTTCGAAGTCTATCTATAAAGTAAATTCCAGTGAATTAGTAAAAGTTTCAACGGAACAAATCGAATAGCGATAGTTTGATTTGACATTTTACCCATAGATTGTTAATAGAATATTCTGAAATTTTCAAGACATTCGAGTTATAATCTAAGGGAAAAATTTCAAATCATTTGATACAAACCGTGTAATAGAGTAAAATATCTATAATTCTGTAAGAAATGTTTGAACAGTTTTATCCTTTTAAGGTCTACCTTATGCACAGAATTCGAAATCAAAAGCGATTGTCAACTTCGAAAAGTTTTCTTGTAAGATAAAAGATACTATATATTCTATTTTCCATGTTTGTAAACGTAGATCATACATATTTTCCTTGTTTTATTTGTAGACGATTTAATAAACAAGAATCTCTTCATTATTCATTTGATTTTTTTCTTTCTAGACGAATTTATATATATATATATTTTTTTTTTTGTTTTATTATTCGAAATAAGCTGAATAAATAGACGAAAGATAACCATTATGGAACAGTCTGCAGGTGATACAACTAGTTCATCATATACAGGTTCACGTTTTCTTAGTCCTGTTGCTAATATGGTCGGTCTAACAGTTGATCAATTCAATTTTATTTTCTCTGAATTATTGTCATTAATTCTTGCCATGTGTTTTCGACGTTTTCTACCTCCTAAACCAAGCAATATACTGCCGAGACATTTAGTCGGTATGATATACTCTCATAAAATCTTAATGTATTCTAGTTCATTGTTAATCTGTGTAGATAGATTTCTAATATTTTTTTTTCTTGTTAAAGATGATCTTAAGGTGACTAATAACTAGGACAAAAATGGATAGGAACTTTTTTGAAGGAAATTTCGTGTCTAGTATTTATAATTCATTAAAAATGTGTGCACAAGAACAATGATTGTAAATACAAGGTTGATGTGGCAACCAAATGGAAAATTTGTCATGTTCATGTTATCAAAATTCTATGAAAAAATGTGAGCAATACGCGAGTTTCAACATGATATTAGTTTATATTTGTATCAGAGATGTTCATGCGATATTTTTTTATGACCCATAGATGAATTTCATGGGGTAAAAAAAATAAATATCAGCACACAACGAAAACAAAAAATAAAAGATACTAGCAAATACCCAACCGAAAATGTGTAGACAGAACGTAAATAGATCTATGAAAGCTTTCAGTTCTGCTTTGAAGAGTGAGTCTAGTAATATATTTCTTCTTGAGAAATAGGTGCAGTCATTAGTTCTTTTCAAATGAGCTTGGTCATTGAACATCTGGTTTTCTCCTAGCTCTAAGTTTCCGACGGTTCCATTCAAATACATTTGTTCAGCTTAGTTGCATGACTCGGAAGGACTACTATGAGTCGTTTAATGACATCAGTTCTGTTCCTCAATCGAAAACTATAACATGCTGTATTACTAATAATGTAATAGGAAAATGTCTTAAATCCGATCATTTATCTTTTCATGAATTTTAAAGCATCATTTAGATCAAGGGGTAAGGAAAAATTATCACCTATGGTCGAGATCATGAGTGGGAGAATATATGAGCAGAAGTCGACCTCTGTTGGGAAAAGATATTGAGGATGACATGTCGTTTCATCATCAGTTAGAGTATCATTCCATGGATGTCCCCATGAACATCTCTGTTTTATATAAAAATTTTGTGTAGAGATGAGTGTCTTAATGTTTAAAGATCGATTTCTTTCTTTAGTTTATTCATAAATTTTGATATATGCAGTTATTTAAATATCTCAGTCTCTTTCTTCTTGATTCTTGTTTATTAATTCAATCTGATTAATATTTTTTGTACGAATTTAGTTCGACAATTCTTTCTTTGATTTCAAAAATTATATTTCTAAAAGAAATATAATTTTCTTTCTTTTAATATATGAAAACTACTATATAATATTTATCAATTTTAGCAAGTCTTATTGGCATAGCTCTTTGTCATTTCTGTTTTGGCTCACAAATATGGCATATAATTGTGCAATCATCTGTCGTATATCTAATGTTTTATGTCATTCATCCTAAACATTCATATCTTGTTATATTTATCTTTTGTATGGTTTATATGAGTGCAGGTAAATTATTCTTTTATTAATATAATAACAATAAAAATCTTTTTTTTTGTCTAGTTCATATTCATCGTTTAATATATGATTATGGAAATTATACACTTGATATAAGTGGACCATTAATGATAAATACTCAAAAATTAACAGCACTTGCTTTTGCATTCTATGATGGTTATCGTTCAAGACAACGTGCTCGACGTCGAAGACCTGATGAAGATGATGAACATACAGCATTAAGTGAAGATCAAGAAAAACAAAAAATAACGGATCTACCACATCCTATTGAATATCTTAGTTACATATTTTATTTTCATGGAATATGTGCTGGACCATTATGTTTCTTTAAAGATTATCGAGATTTTATTGAAGGACGTAATTTACTTGTTATACCAACAGGTGAAACAACGAACAAATACACCAATGAACAACATCAACCATTGAAAATAGAACAACCATCTATATTTTGGCCTGTATTCACAAAAGTCGCACAAAGTGTTATTTGGGTTTATATATTTATGGCTTATACACCATATTATCCACTAGAATATAATTTAAGTCAAGAAATGATTAATTCTTCATGGTTTAAACGATTTTATTTTCTTGTATTTTCAGTATTTTGTGTTCGAGTAAAGTAAGTATATATAAAATATTAAACACAAAAAGAAAACAACACTACAGAAATTTTTTTTTTTTTGGAAATTTTTCATAGATATTATTTTGCATTTATTTTATCAGAAGCTGTTAATAATGCAGCTGGTCTTGGTTTTAATGGTTTTGATAAAAACGGAGTACCACGATGGGATCTTTTGACAAATGTTAAACCACTTCAATTAGAATTAGCAACAAGTTTAAAAGTAATTTTAGATGTATGGAATATACGTAAGAATTAAGACATAGAATTTCATTTATTTCATTTAATATTATAATATGTTTTCTTTGTTATTTTTTTTTGTACATATAGAAACAGCTATATGGCTTCGTCGTGTTTGTTATGATCGATTATATAAAGGTCGAACATTAGGAGTTTTTGTTCTTTCGGCACTTTGGGTAAGAATAAACCAAAACAAAAAAGTTCAATATAATCCGATGGAGAATCATTATAAGATATGCAAAGTTAATGTCGATTAAGATTGCATAAAATATTTCATGAATACTTGAAATATTATATAATGGAAACATTTAGATAACAATGAGATCTAGTTTTATCCTTATTTATATCTTTTTTAAATTATAGAGATTATGCTATAGTAAATATACATATAGCGTTGTTAGTATTCGTATTTGAACAAAAAATATCTCAGGTTAGATGCATGAAAAAGTTCTATAGATGTGATATATCTAACGATGAGACGTAACCAACTGTCAGATGCCATTCAATTTCATATTTTAGCTACAAGTAAGTCGTTATAAGGTTAAGAAAAATTGAAAGACATCCTTTTTCATAACTCAAAATCCTTTTTGTTATTTTGTAGCGATTGTTGAAAGTAGAAACAAATATATATCCCACTTTGATTTTAGTTGTTACAAAAAAAAGAATTCAGCCATAAAAAATGAATTATGACTATTTGAAAAGGAGAAATTTCAGGTTATTTTTGGCCGTTGCGCTCGCTATATTTCATAGAAGGGAGCATTTGGTAATTCTGAGTCTATGACAACTTTTGTTCTCCTAGTCGAGATCTGTCTACTATTATAGTTTCAGAATTTTTAAACGAGCTGTTTTTGAGAAACCTGAGGAAATGCAAGTACTCTAGAAAAGGATTTGGATCTATGGTCTTCTATTGAAGAAATTTTTTACTAAGAACAAGAAACACAGAGTTTTTACGTGAAGTTTTTTTTCTCCATAGATTGATTTAATAGTCATTTGATAATTCTGAAAATTTCAATGATGCCTTTATCGACATACTCAATTTTGAAATAGAATCGATTATTGTGTTCTCCCTGGATAAAAAGCTGTTTTTTTTTCTTTTGGAAATTGAATATCTCGAGAAAGATTATCTTTTAAGTTTTCCTTAGTTTCACAAGAACATATTCATATCCATACTATAAAATCGAAACTATTAACTTGCCTAATATGTTAATAATGCGATCTGATCCACTGAGTGTTCATATTTTTATGTGGCGCCATTTGATTGGTACAATAATCAGATTGCAGAGAAAAGGAATTCTTTAACCATATTATTAAATCAGCAAAAGCAACATTAATTCCATGCTATTTTAGTAATAGAAAAAAAAAGGAAGAAGTGAACCGATAAAAATCAGTGTCAAAAAAATATGCGTGTGTTTGACACATTTTGTTAAATATCATTTAATTTGTTCGGCGCAATTTTATGACTTGAGAAGACATTTCGTTTATAATAAATACCTTGTCAACGTCTCATAGGTTCAGGTTTATAATATATTTATTAATTTTGCTTTTGATCGTTAAATAATAGCTTCATGATCAATTGCATGTTTTAGTATGTGTAATTCACCAAGTTATTGTGAAGCTTTCGCAATATATTTATATAGGGTAGTCAAAAAGTTCTGTTATTTTTCAAATATTTATTTATAGACGAAAAATTTTAGTTTATCTATTTACAGTAAATGTTTGGAATGATCTCCATAATATTCGATAGAAAGTTTTATTCTATGTATCTATTTCTGAAAGATTTTTCAATATTCGTGAATAGATATTGCATTGAGCTCTTTGATTATTTTTTGTTTTACCTAAATTTGTAGTATGTGGATATGTATCAAGGCTACATTTTAGATAACGGAATAATTGAAAGTATGAAAGAACAAAGTCAGATGTATATGGTGAATGATCCATAACTTATATTTTTTTTCCTCTTGAAGATAATTAAGATTGAGAATAATATCTTATCTATGTAATTTTCCATTTTTATAATGCAAATTTATTCTATTTATTGTTGATGATGTTGTTCTCTTATGTAAATTTTTGACTAATATCTTCAAGTATTCATCAAGATAGTTTATATGATAACTATGTCTAAGATAGTAGTAATACTAATATGTGGATTAACATTTACTAGATCTTTAATAACATCAACATTTTGTTGAGTAATCGTAGTTATTAGTCGATCATTTCGAGAATCATCATCTAATAACTTTCGTCCACTTGAAAATCAATAGATTCCATGAGCAATTGTACACGCTGTGAAACAATACTTGATTCATAAGCAGTAGTTAAACTTAATAAAAATCGAGTTTTTATATATAATCGTATGCACTATTTTTCCATCTGAAAATAGAGATGACTAAATAGTCTACTAAGAATTTGCCTTAATACATATTTGTGATATTTTGTATTAATGGTTTAATATATAATAAATGTCTCTACAAGAATAAGCCAATACGAGGAACAAAAACATTGAGGACGAAATTTTAGACATCTCACTTATCAGAACTTTTTGACTACCTTATGTAACTCAGTAGTCAGACTTCTTCATCGATTTATGTCACACGGAAATTCCGAAATACCTCTATTGAGTGTCGATAGAGATCAATTCATTTTGGAAAGTTCAATTTTATACGTCCAATATTTTAAAGGTGGAACGATGAAAATTACGGAAGCTAAAGGGTTAAGAGAAGTTACACAAGCTTATCAAGAAAGTAGATTTTATGGTCGAAATTAAGATATAATTTTCTTTACATCAATTGATTTCTGACATTATGCTGAAGTTATAAAAAACATTTTAGACTTCTGTGCTGTGTTTTGATAGAGTTATAACTGTTGAAACATGAAGAACTTTGAGAAACGAAAAAAAAATCATCTCCATTATTCCGCTTATATATTCTCAAGTTTTTTGAGCAACATCTTATGTGAAAGAGCATATAAAACTGAGCAAGGTGTGTCGAATAAGTTTCTGAAATGGTCAAGCCTCGATATTAAAGAATAAGCTTTTCTGAAAAATTGTACTTTTATTAAACTGACTTTTTTCGATTGTAAGCCGGTTTTCAATATGAATACTCATCTAGGTGAAACTTCATTTTACGCTGCACAAAACCATTATCAAGATTTAGAAAAAAGGTCGAGGTCACGCTGGTTCTGAGGTATTTATATGTGCCTGTTTTGACTGACATTTAACAGATTTTGCCCAGGATAATTACGATTTTATCAAAATTAATGTGATATTTCTGTACGCGCACCAGACACTCAGTCGATCTATATATATTTCAAATATCTTTGAGACAATTGTTTTTTTGGAACAATCCACTTTGTGCCCCCCCCCCCCCCGCCCAAGGTTTAATCAAAACATTAAACTCATCAAAGCACTCCTTTTATTTCCTAATCATCTTCTGCTTTGTGTCCTACTATCATTTTAAATCCTTAGAACTTATTTTCCACTGTTAAAGTAAGTTTTTATTGAATACCATTCTTTGACTAAACTCTGAGTGAGACCGGCGGGAAATTATTTTAGGAAAAAAATGTCTCAAAGATATTTGAAATACACAAAAACTCACTCGGTTTCTGGTACTCCTTCAGAATATCATATTGATTTTGATCAAATCATAGTTTTTCTAAGCAAAATCGGCTAAATATCAATCAAAAAAAGGCACAATTTTATGCTTCAGGAATATACAACTTTGCCCTTTTCTCTAAATCTTTATAATGGTTTTCTAGTCGACATAATTCTCTACACGATGTATTATATTAAAGTTGCACCCCTGTCGAATAGTAATCATATTGAGAATAGACATACAATTGGGAAAAGTCAGTTTAATATAAGCGTAGTTTATGAAGGTGACCTTTCTTTTTCGTTTCTCATAGTTCATCATGTTTGAACGCTTATAGCTCCAGTTTCATTTTAGGAGTAAATTGATGTAAAACAAAAAGTATATTTTAATTTTAACCATAAGATAATTCTGTTGAGATGAATGCTCAGCCGACTGACGAAATTATGCTTAAAGGCTCTTGGTGAACTGTCTAATCGATAATTCTTATCTAGAAAAAATATGATTTTATATTTGTGAATCGATTCAACATTCAAATAGTTAAATGGCAAACTTTGCTATTAATGTCAATTGATGCTTAGAGATGAAGGTAAAAATGTAACATTTTTGCATGCTTTTGTTTTCTTTTTTTATTAATAATGATTATTTATGTTCTTCATTGAATAATAATGCTTTTATATAACATTCTTTTCTTGATTAACAATGCATGTCTAATATTTCTTTTTCTTTAATTCTTATCACTTTAAATCTTACATGGTCTTCAATAGATAGAAAATACCAAAAAAAAAAAATAACAACGAAGATATCTATTATGTCACTAAAATTCGAATAAAAAACCATTATCCTATTAATTTAGAACTAGAAAAAAAAAATTACAATAATCTTTAGTTTTACTTCAATATAAACGATATAATCGGATTTGTTTGTCTTCTTTTTTCTATTATTAAAAAATCATTTTAATCCTTTTCTTTTGTTTTCCAGCATGGTTTCTATCCTGGATATTATGTGAGTTTTATCTTAGCAGCATTCCAAACGTATGCTGGTCGTGGTATTCGCCGACAAATACGTCCATATTTTCAAAAGAATCAAATTACAAAATATATTTATGCATGTCTGACATGGTTAGGTACTCAAATAGGATTATATTTTATTGTAACACCATTTATTTTATTGGAAATTCGTAAAGCTTGGTATTTTTATAAAACATGGTATTTTATAATACCAATTATGTCAATTATTCTTGCATTAGTATTAAATGGTGCCAGTTCGAAACCTAAGAAAAAACAAGAACAACAACTAGAAAAAGAAAAAAAAACATTAAGTTAAAATTTTCAAATAATAGTTTTTTTTTTTTCTTCTGCATATTTAATGTGATTTTATTTTTTACACTTGCTTTATTTAATTTTATTTTTATTAATGTAACCTTTAATACTTTTTGCTTTTGCTTTCGTATTATATTTCAATAGAATCATAAATATATAGAAAAAAATCTGTCAAGGTATGAAAATCTTCATCATAAATTATATGAAGGTGTTATGGTATACATCACGTATATACGTGCATGTTTTGAAGAGAAAGATCGAACGTGCTTTTTAAAGATTGTCTGTTTTATTTTTTTTTCTCTCTCGCTCTCTCTCACACGATATATTTCATGATGAAGGTTGCTTACATAGATCTATACCTCAAGTGTGTGTGAGAAAAAGAAATTCTCGTTTTTTTTTTCTTCTTTCTTATCAAAATCATGGTTGATGATTGAATTCAAGTAATAATACTGATTATCATTAGCAAAGTGTAAAAACCTTCATCATATATGCATATATACTCAACAATCATCGATCAACATTGTTATTATTGGTGTAAAATTTGATTGAGTGAACTTTAATATTTGAATAAAAAAACTTGTTTGATAATCGAGGGTATTAGTTACATAGTGGCACGTCTATTGTATGTGCACCAGAAGAATGTATATGAAGTTGATTCTGAAAATCATGTTTTTCTTTTTCTCTTAATAAAACGAAATAGGAAGAGAAGAAAAAAAAAGAAGAAGAACAAGAACCTTATAGCAATGTTTAGTTGTTGATATCTCGAGAGAGATTCAAAAAAAAATGCTAGTACAAAGACCAATGAAGTTAGTCGGTAATACTTTATTTTCTTTGCCCCCTTATTTCTACAATACTGATGCATTCTCACGAGTCAGCAAGAATTTTTCTTGTGCTCTTTTTTTTTCTGTCTCCTATGCAAATATGTTTCTATCATCAGAGAAAAAGAGAGAAGCAGTATCACTTTAATCATATTCTCTTACGGTGGTTAGTAATAGTTATGATGGCAGTGAAGAGAGTCGTAGTCAAAGAAAGGAAAAAGAGATATTGTTCTGATAAAAAACAGAATTCATTATGAGAACAAATAGAATTCGCCATTCAGTTGAGCATATATATATATATAACTATCAAGAGTGTGACATGAGCAAAGACTATCGATCTTTTCGCTTTGACTTTTTTTTTCTAATGAACTTGAACATGAGATTATAGATAATCAACGACTAGATTTTTGGGTAAGTTTTTCATTATTATTGCTCATATTGCAATTGTAAGAAAGAAAGAAAAAGAATGAATAATGAAACTAAACACACACTAATGTATGCTACAATAGAAAGAAATCGGATCTGTACAAAATAAACCTTCAGCGTTAGTGAATCAATAATAAATGCACACGCATGGATTATTGCTCTAAATGGATTTCTGTCTTCGTATGAATCAATTATTTCCTTTCTCGTTTTCTTTTTTTTTTTTTTTTTTGACATCAGGTTTCAACTCTCTAGTCAGTTTTCTGGCTTTCTTACCTACTCGTCATTGTTGATATTTGACAAGAGATTAGTTTTTTTCCTTTGAAGCTTCATCATAATCATTTACTTCTCTTTTTTTTTTCTTTTTTCATACTATCGAACACTTTCATGACCTTCACCCTCATGTTGTACATCTGTTGCTACAGTATAACAAAATTATCACTATGGATCAATATCTATGATTCTTCAACGACAAGTGTATGTGCAAGTTCTATTTTTTTTTCTCTCACGCATATGTGTTACCGAAATCGAGCTCTTCCTTTTTTTGTCATAATGATTTTACTGTCATCATTTGTATGTCTGTGTGTACATTTGTGAAACATGGTGCAATGACAAATATAAACGAATAGAAATATGTGTGTGTATGTGCATATAAACACTGTTGACAAAAATAGAAGAGGATAGACAAACTAATAGCCGATAATAAATAGCAAATCTATAGATTCTTGCTTGCTATATCGTAAGAATCGAAACCAGCATACTTTTCTTTCGCTCTCTCTCTCTCTCCCCGTCATGTCGTTCTCTATAAAAAAAACAGCTGCACCAGCGACTTATAGTGGCGGCAGGCACGGCGCTATACATAGAGCAATAGAACAAAATAAAAGAAAAAAGAGAATCTCATTTTTTTATGCGCTTGTTGCCGCTTATACGTGTGTGTATGTTGTTGGCAGCAGCAATAGAAGACAGTAAAGAAAGCAAGAGAAGAAAAAAAAAGTTATTTCATCAAAAATGGCATCTAGATTTTACCGCCGTCATGCCATTCATCGATCCGTGACTTGTACAAGTCAACAGAACAAAATCAAACTATGATACTAAGAGAAAGAAAATGCGCCTGTTAGTGTATTCTGAAAGGTCATAGACAGATCTAGACAGGTGAGGAAAAAAAACAACCTTCGGATGTTACTATTTCTCTTTAAATATATATCTATTACCTTTGCATGTCTCTCTTTTTTTTTGTTCGCGTGTATATTTGTTATTTACCGTTGATGATTAAAACCGTGAAGGAAAATAGGTATGTGTTTATGTCGATACGGTGAAAGCATCTTTTAGATAGTAAAAAAGAGAAAGAAAAAGCAGAAAAAAAGATACTACACATGCATTTGTTGTTCGAGTAAGCACTGAGCTATAGATAAAAAACATAGTCCATATGTGAAATGACTATTACTGACAGCTGTTCGAATAAAGTTAACATTTTATTTTACAGGTGAGTTCAGTCAATGCTATTTGATGATTATATAATTAAATTTCCTTTGCGGATAAATTATTTAAAAAAAAAGTTTCTTTTTTTGACTTAACAGAATTAGTATAAGCAGTGGTAATTTTAAAAGTAATCTAAATATGTATATATATATGCCACTTTGGTAATTGAGAAAAGTCAGCATATCAAATATCTGTTTGTTTTACTCTATACTTGTCAGTCGTCTAACCTTGTCTATATAGTTAGTTCTCTCATAGCTTGTTTTGTTCGACATTTTTCTCGTTCATTATTTATCAATCATTTACATTCAATTACATATATCAACTCTTTTTACTTTTTACGCGTTGAAGAATTATGACTGTTGCACAAACAACGTTTAATGAAATAGAAAAAACCTAGAGAATAAGAAATATAAAATAGTGTTCAATCAACCGATATATCATCAGGTCTTGAGCACGCATAGAGAATATTATAGAATGGCACGCTTCTCATGTTTTCTTTTCTACTTTTATCTCTCATTTGTCTGTCTACTTTTTTTTCTTTTTCTTCTATGTATCAGTGTTTGCGATGATCGAACATCAAGTAATTTTAACATTTTGGCATTATTCTACCGATGAAAAAGAAAAGAGAGAAAGAAAAGTATACGCGCAAATACCAATTGCGAAGCTGCAAAAAAAATGATGGCAGTTCTCCTACACACACACGCATACACTGTAATGGTGTTACGACGATAGCGAGGAACTTGGGGCGTCGACGACGTTGTTCTTTTCTTGTCTGTCTTCCTTACTCTTACTCTCTCTCTCTCTCTCTGTCTCTTCTGTTATTCGGATAGTGGCGTATTTGACACATGAATGTGAGTAGTTTTGTTTCTCTCTCTCTCTCTGTGTTTCTCTTCATCTCTCATGTCGAGGGAATGAAAAGAAGAAAAGAAGTAAATGAGTCCTTGTTAAGTTGAGCAGCTTGCATGCCAATGATCGTTGATCGATGCTAGCTGCCTTTCGTATTTATTTATATCAAGATTATGCATCGTTACTATGTCAATCTATTTGCTTAAGTTATTCATATTTTTTGTCTTTTTTTTCCATTCCATGACAACAGGTAGAAATCGTCGTTATACTTCTTTTTACTAAAAATCATATCCGATTACTATCAACATCCATATACTCATATATAAATCTTTCAACGTTTTGTTATTGCTAATATAGGAAGAGAAAAAAATTTCAGTAGTATCCATATCTTTACATCTCATCACCCGCCTACAGAATAAGGCACACATTTATACTGATGGAAAACTAAAACAATAGAGATAGATATCGTCCTTGTTTTCGACATGAAACTTGTTCTCGTCTATATATAATATATATATATAAAACAGGCAAGTTGTCTATATTTATATCAGATAGTTATTAGTTTGTGTAATAGTTTGTATGTGAGAAAGATATTAGTAAGAAAAAAAATGAGACTATGTTGATGTCTAAAGAAAAGTGAGAGGCATGCGTGCGTTCAACAGCACACTCTGTACGCATGATTTATGGTGCACAATGTGTGAATGAAATAGATGGTAGGTAATAGAATTTTTTTTTAAAATGAAGACGAATGAGTAGCATGTCAAGTAAAAGAAGAAGAAGAAAAGTAAATAGGAGTTTTCATATAAAGAAAACCAAGAACTATTAGTTGTTACTGTTATTATTTAAAGGATTCTATTTTTCTAACAAGTATTCATTATGTATTGCACGCACGATTCTTTTTTCCATCATCTTCTATTATCGTCGTCATCAGTTTCATGTTGGTGAAACGCATCGATATTGATCGAATTACATTATTATTCTAGAATTGCCTGTTTAACACTGGGTCTCATAAATACCCCTCCTTTCTTGCTTGTCTTTGTTTTTGTTCTTCTGATGCTTAATAGACTATAAAATGTCAATTACTTTCGACATCCTTCTTTTTGCTTCGTCATTCCACTATACATATATATATATGCCTGTGCATAATAGTGGTGGTGGATTACTAATAGACTGTATCAAGGTACCATCGGCTGGTTTGTCCTTGTTTGCCGATTCTCTTTTTTCATTTCTTTTTTTTTTTGACAGCATATTATATATCAATATATATATATATACAAATATGTTTTCTAGATGTTACACGACATATAACCAAGCTATTTTCATACAATATGTATAATATTCATACACAATGAAATCTCGACGATAATCCATAAACAATACGCTCTATATTTATCTTTCTCTATATATATATCGGACAAAAACAGTGAAATTTGTACATGTCTTTCAGTTTTGCTACAACAGCCGTTGATCCACACGGCACACATTATTCATCGCCAACAAGTATGCATCCTCAACAGTATATGTCACCATTAACTGGTTCTTCATCATCCTCAACTGGTGGATCACCAACAACAACCGTACAAATTCCAACGGCTACTGTTACTTCTCCCGTAGCTACTAATATGCCATTATTAGCATCAATTGCAAATGTTAAAGATTCACGTTGGCTTACATTAGAAGTTTGTCGTGAATTTCAACGTGGAAAATGTACTCGATCCGAACAAGAATGTAAATTTGCTCATCCATCAACACATGTCGAAGTTAATAGTGGCAAAGTTATAGCTTGTTTTGATTCACTTAAGGTTTGTTTGAGAATATATTAAATATTTTAAAAGAAACTTTTCTTGTTTAAACATTGATGATATCAATGTTTATGATTAGCAATTCATGAAAAGAATTGTTGCTTTATTATTCAATAAAAAGAAGAAAAAAAAAACAAGAATAAATTAGTTCTACAATAAGGACATCTATCACGTTGTCATTTTAATGATTAAAATAAAAAAAAAACGAAAAGAAAGATTGACCGTTGATTGTTTATTTTGTTTATCTCTTATACATTCACTCACGAGACCTATTCTATATCTGAACGTCGTTGATTATAACGACCTTTAACATAGGTAGATATGATATATGTGTATATCATATGTATAGAACGAAGCGAAAAGATGATTTGAAAAAGTCAACGTTTACTCATTTTTATATTACATATGAGAATAGATAAACGACATAGAGTAAAAGCGTCATATAATTTATAGAAAAAAAAAAAAAACGAGAGCAACCGAGACGATACATTTTGTTGGATCATTATCATTATAATTCAAAACTTTGACAAAAAAAAAAAAGAAAGAAAGATACGAGATGAGTCTTGAGCAAGTAAGTTAGAAAATAAAAAAAGACGAGAGAGAATTTTTCTTCTTATCTTAAGCATATAGTTATCTTTGAATTCTTCGTCGCCTTCTTCTTCTACTTTTAATATTTTAAAAAGTGTTGACCATGAGTAGCAACAATCCACAGCCGATAAAAAATTCTGTATGCATTCATTTTGTTTTATCATGATGATTTGATAATAAAATTTGATATTAAACGTTTTTCTTTGTTTTCATTGTTTTGTTTTATTAATTTTTTCAATAGGGTAAATGCAATCGTACAAATCCACCGTGTAAATATCTTCATCCGCCTCAACATTTACGTGACATTCTACTTCAAAACGGACGCAATAATCTTATTCTTCGTAGTATTGGTAACAAAAAACATCATTTTTAAATTTGTTTTTAATGTTTTTTCTTTTTTTTTTCAAAGCTATGAACATTGCTGCTAATCAAGCTATGTATCCACAAACGGCAACTCATTTGCCATATCACAATGGTGCTATTATACAAAATCAATTACAACAATCGGCGTCAATGGTAAGAAAATCTTTATTTTTGAATTTATATATAACAATAAAGAAAACAACCTGATTATGAAATTTATTTAGGCGTCCTATCCACAGATAAGCTCAGCTGGTCCAGCTCAATCGGCTTTAGTATTTAATCAAGCTGGTCAAGCTTTTAGCATTCCTTTACATGCAACACATTTACAACAAATAACACAAGGCGCAAATCCTACAACTATGTACAGTCCAGATGGTACGCAATATTTTCAACCGGTGACACAATTAACCGCTCAACCAACTGGACCAAAAATAACACGTACAGATCGTCTTGAAGTATGTCTTTTCAAAGAAAAGAATTCTCTTTTTTTGCTCATTATTCCCACTATTTTTTTTAAAATCCTTTCATTAAAACAGTGGTAAGTGAGATATGCAAATGTCTATCTAGCAGCCAGGCGCGCCAATCTATATTCATATAATTGCTCCATCTGCACGCTGAAGCAGCTAGTACAGAAAAATAAAAGAGTCTATATCGAGTAGCAACAGCAGCCCGCCACCTTTTCTGCCATACTTTCTTGAGCTCTATTTGGTTCACTAATCTGCTCTGAGCCGTTCTCATGCCGCCATTGTTGCTGCTCTTGTATCGAAAAAAACAAACAACAAAAAAAAAACCAACCAAAATTGGCAGCATGTATCTTGCTCATTAAAATATATATATAGATATACGTATTCATAGTGCGAGCTCTCGTACAGCTTTGTCCTTGTCTATATTGCTACTCGATTTTAATTTCAAATATGGTTATGGTAACATCAGACAAAAAAAAACACAAAAGAATACTTTCCATTCTCCTAGATTTATTCGAATACAAATTCCAATCATGATATTTTAAAGGTTTGTTATGAACATGAAAATATTTCTCTAATATATGTGTATGCTCATCTTTAGACCTGATATATTTCATTATTCTTATTTTTTTTTCTTTCCCTTTATTCACATTCCTTGTACTTAAAATAGTGTGTATCCCATTTAGTCTTATTTTGAACTTGACACGCTATATGTAAGTGAAGAGATTCTTGAAATTATCAAGCATACAGAGGCCAGCTTGTTCTTTTAAATAATGTTCGTTATCACTATCGTGCACATATATTTTGTTAACACTTGTGTGCGTGTTGAATATTTCTATTGTTTTCTTTGTGCTTAGTATTTACGCATTACACGACTAGTTTCTTTATCTCTTTGCTTGTTGCTTGCTTCTCTAGTTATTATTTTTCTTTATCTCTATATATATATATCGACCTGCATGTTTGTGCCTTCCTTTTGTTCAGCTTGTGTTGGTTTTATTTCTAGGTATGCTCTGATTTTCAGCATGGGCAATGTTTTTATACAGCAGATACATGTCCATATGCACATCCGCAAGCACATTGTCCTCTTGATGTAGATGGTCTTGTTACTGTCTGTGTTGATTATGTTAAAGGCAAATGTGCTCGTGAAACATGCAAATATTTTCATCCACCTGATCATCTAGTTGCACAATTAAAAGCTGTTAAAGCACAATCAGTTGCTGCTGCTGCTGCTGCACATGTTTATTCCACAGCAGCTGCACTACAATATTCACCATCAACTATTCAATTGGTTCATCCATTTACATTGAATAGTAGTCAATCGATATTAACTGCACCACCTACTACTTATGTCTATCCTCAACAAACATCTATTGCATCTGCTTCCTCTTCACCATTGGTATGCTTTTGTATCTGTTGCATGCTTTCATACAGCTTATATTTGATGTGATTTTCTTATCAATCATATAAATTAAAAGAAAAAAAAAAAAGAACAAAAAGAATTAATATTCTTAATTACTTATTATTTTTAGCAACAACAACAGAATGCTCCGGAAGATGATGGTACTTATACAAATGGTTTTGTTTCGCCTTATCAACCATATCAAGGACACATTCAAGCAATTTATGCTCGGGCACCATCTGTTGATTTGAAAGATGTACGTTAAAAATAGAATTTTCCAATTAAATTAAATATTCAACTAATATAAAGTACTTGACAGGCAATCTTTATATTTCGTAATAAGAGAATCATGATTTTATAAAGCACGAAAACTATAATTAAATTCTAAGAAATCAAACTTTCTTTTGTTTGTTTTTGTTTTTTCAGCCAACATTGATTGCTTCAACAAATGATACAACATCATCATCAACAACAACTGATGTTAAGGTTGGTAGAAAAATTTTATGTTTTAGGTGTTTTTTTTTCTTTTCTTTTCTTGGTTTTTCATATTTATCAAAAATGTCATTGTGCAGCAAGCAGCAGCCTTTTGTTTTTTTTTCTGCCATTGCCTTATGTGAACGTGATGATATTTGAGCTTTATTAAACAACATATTATCTATTTAGTTTATCACACAAATTATTTTAGCAGGAATATTGTGCGTGCTTAAGCTTATTAAATATTATTATCAAAAAAAAAAAAAAAAAAGAAACGAAGAAATGACTGATGCACGTCATAGATATTATAATTATTCAGTCTAAATTCTGACGAGGAAACTTTTCCAATTCGAAAATCGCTTTTAACTTCAGATTCTATGCATAAGATAGGTTCAAGTGACGGATAAAAAATTCTCAAAGAACAAAGATACCTAGGCCTCCTCTACAGTGTTATAGCCTATAGCACAGTATGTACAAAAAAAATCGAATAACGATATTTTAACCTGAAATCTCGCGAACTTGACTGCGAATCATGTATGAATTTTAAAAAATTCCTATGCACTGCATTGATGAGTATAAGTTATGATCTATATATAGGCTAACAATATTAGCTTCAGCTCTCACATGTATCTAATATTAATATTGCTTCGTGATAGCTTGCAAAAGTACGGCTACCCAGCTAGATTGTCCTGAAAATTTCAGTTAAAAAAACTGTTTCTTTCACGAGATATTAAGTCACCAAAAATTACATTCATCTTCTGCGAAAGATACGAAAATCTTATGTCTTTTTTTTTTTTGAGAAGTCAGTATCTCGTGAAAGGAACATTCTATTAAGCTGAAAGACGACTATAAGCTTTTGACTAGAGAACGGGATATGTGCATGTTTATAGAGAAAAATTCCTCTATTTAATGATGTATGTATTATCAAGTTTTGCTGCGCAGTGTTAACTTGTTGATAGATGATGGCACCTTCTGCCCCAATCGCGGCGAAATTGACGTCACGTATCGATATATCCACGATGCACAGTAGAACCTGATAACACACACATACCATTACATAGAGAAAGTCTTTTTCTACAAGTTTATATATATATATATCGTTCTGTTCTAAAGAGGGCATGGTAGCCTTTCAGCATGTCGTAGTTACAAATGGGACAAAATTTTATTAGACTCGATTGGCCCTTCTGGAGAAGGAAATCTCGATAGAATACTGACTGTGCTGTAGGCCAGCGGTGCTTAGTCTCTACAGGTCTTTGATTCCTTTGACGAGGTGTTTAAAAAAACATCTTTCAAAAATCTTGTCAGGAAGGACTCAAAGGTTCATACGAAGAACTGAGCCCTCTCTAGCTTTGCCACTGTTATAGACTAAAATTTTCGGTAAAAAACAGCTATAACTCTATAAGGAAGACTTAGCTGCTCTTATCCTTTAGAGGTTTTTAATACGTCTTTGGGATTTACCTTATGCACAGAATTCGAACTAGAAAGCGATTTTGAACTTTTCTCGTTAGTCTTATATAAAAATTTCAATCAATAATAATTGATTCTCATTCCAGATAAAGAAAAAACCTTAGAAGCTTATTGTTTATTTATTGTTGTTTTATATTTTTATTCTTTTGTTTGTATATGCTTGTTGCACACACGATCTTGTCTCTATTCCTCTTTTCTACTAATCTAGGCAGTGATCGATCCTGTCAGCAGCAGCAGCATCACGCCGCAGACAAAAAAACGACCGCTTGAAGACGATACTGCTACTTCCGGTGCCTACCTGCAGCTGGTATTGCACACATGCTTTTTTTATTCCTTAGATTTATTTATTTATTTATTCTGCTTTGTATGTATGAAACAAAAAAAATTGATCGAACCACAATATGCTTTGTTTTATAATCTTGCTAGCTTGATTTTTGCTTTAGTTTAAAATTTTAAAATATTTATTATGCTTTTCTTGTGGTTTGGTCAGTTTAATATGCTATTTTTTTTTATAGATAAGCAAAGCAAAAAAATAAATGAATAGATTTTGATTTTTTCTTAAAATAATTTAAATAAATCTCTTGTGTCTTTTCTTTGCTTCTAGCCACCTGGAACACAAATAATTACTGCATCACAATATCTTCAATCACAACAGACAGGCATGCATACACAACATCAAAAACGTTCAGCTGTTGCTGATCCAAAAACGGGCATACCAATGGCTGCTTATCCAGTAACAGCATTTTCTTATCCATCTCCATCACCATTACAAATACCATTTCAACAACCTTATTTAACTGCTGTTCCTATGGCTTGTAAGTTAATCGAGTTTTTTCAGTTTGTCTTCTATCGAGCATGAGGAAGTTTTATTTTTGTTGGTCTGAATGCTTGAATATCCTCATATACAGATTTACCATCACCTGAAATAGTCGCCGCTCAGGGTGCTCTTGTATCCGTGGGTTCATCTTATGTAACATATATTGATAAAAAAGGACAAGTGAGATAATCTTTTTTTTTTTTTTTCGTTTTGGTTTCTTTTTGCGTGCATGTTAAACATAGGAAATAATTTTCTTTTGCATATGTTCATTATTTTATTCTATTTACTATTTGTTCAGCTCAAAATCAAATAAAAAGTACGTACATATTTATTGAGAACTACTAGAGATATTTTCACCATATTTGATGACGTACTAAATTTTTTCTCTATCCTATCCTAATTCATATGTTTGTTTGTGCATGTTGCATGATGCTGGCACACAAGTTATTTTTGAAGTTTTGATTTAATTCAAAGATTAACTAAAATGACTGGTTGTTTTTTTTCCCGTTGTTTTAGTTACTGGATATACTTCCCATATGCCGAGACTTTAAATCACGTCGTTGTATGAGACCTCAATGCAAATATGTTCATTTATTAGAAGGTAAATTCAACAAGAGAAGTCACAAGTTAGAAATATTTTTGTTTTCTTCTAAATGATTTAGATTTTGTGGAAGAAAAAAATGGTTATGTATCAATTTGTAAAGAAGCTATTTTGGGAAATTGTTCTAAACATGAATGTAAATTTATCATATTTGTACTGAAGAACTTCAACGACAAATTCTTTCTTTTCATTATAATAAAAATTGGCGTTCAAATACAAATGTTTTAACAACAACAACTGTTACTACAACAAATCATTCATATTAGCCAAGTTTTTTTTTTCTTTTTTTCATTTCTCTTATCACTTTTCTCTTTCTCTCTTATACCGTCATACAAACAAGTACGTACGTCTTTTTGTTTTTTTGATTTTGATTTTCTACATACATACATACATATAAATATATAAAACACATTTGTCTTTCTTTTTTCATTCATTCACACATACATTAAAAAAAACAGAAACATGTATCGTTTGTTTTTCTTTTGTTTCTATATGTTTATAATTTCTATATATTTTTGTTTTCTTTTGTTTAAATATATATATATATATATTTGTTCTGTCCGTTGTTTCCAGTTTGTGATGAAAAATTTTTACAGTACATACACATTAATGTATAACTGTATATGTATGAAAACAAAAAAAAGGAAAACAAACAATCTAGAATCAGTAGTTAATACTTTTCTGTTTTGTTTTTTTTTTCTAATGTTTATTTATCATTATCTTTTCTGTTCTTTCTTTCTTTCTTTTTTTTTTTTCGTCTATTTCTTGAAGGAAAAAAAAAACACAACAATAATTTGTTTTATTTTTGTTTCTGTTTTTGTTCTTTTCTAAAACTATTTCATTAATTTGTGTATTCGCAGACGAGAGTCAAGAAAAACAATTCGAGTGTGCACGCATAGGAAACATCAAAAAAAAAAAAAAAAATAGAATGAGGAAAAAAATAGGAATAGAAGACAGGAGTCATGTCCGGTGTATTGATTTTTTGTTTTTCATTCTTTGTGTTAATGTATTTGTCCTCGAACTAATATAATATACGAGATTATTCCTAGTCATGTGTCTTTCTCAGCTACACATTCCGTCTTATGTCATTTGCTTCGTAGACTGAACAGTAGTAGCCTTAGTTAATTAAGACGAGAAGTTAATATCGAGTTGCTCTATGTTATCTTCTTAACAGCAATATCTCTTATTTTTTATTCTTTTGTGGTGCAATAGTGATTGTCTATCGTAGTCCCGTTACAAAACAAAGAAGATCAAAAAAAAAAAAAATTTTTTTTCTAATCTTAACTCTCGGATAAAACAGGAACAATTAAACTCCGATGCGAACAGTGTTCTGAATTGAACTGTTTTTTTTTCTAGTTGTTGTTGTTGTTGTTTTCTAAAATTTTCGCAAGCCTCTTATTCAAATAAACACAAAACGAGCGTGCTATATGATCTCGTTAGTTGTGTACTCTTGTCTTTTTCTTTTTTTTTTCTGTTTTGTTACTGGTGCTATTCCAGTTTCTCTTTTTTTTTCTTCTTTTGTTTTTATGCGCGAGATAATTCGTCATTTTTTTTTCTTGTTTGTATGTGTGTTGAGAAGTCCACTGAACAAAAAAAAAAAAAAACACAACAAAAAAAAGTTATTGTATGCATCTTTTTTTTCTCCATGGACAAGAGAAAAATATTAAATAAACGAGTGAAATTCAAATTGGTCTTTTTTTCATATATAATACATGCTTTGAAAAACTAACTAATATTGTTTTAAGCATATAGTTTTTATTTCACATAGTGAGAAAGAATATTAAAGTATTTCACTTTTGATTTTTTTTGTGTATTGGTCAGATACTATTTGATAGGTATGTCTTTATTTGTTGCTTAACGGATGGTAATTTCGTATTGCTGCATTAACTAGCTTTTTATTTTTATCTTTTAAACATATTTGCTTTTCATTGTGATCAAAGAGAGGTTTTAAACACATTAATACATCATCTATCATTCCAATTCAATGACATATGAAATATTCGATTTGAATTTGTAATCCAAATCGAGTTATTGTTGAACTCAAAAACAAGTAATTCGAGCTGTGTTTTTTTTTCTTAGGATTGATTTCTGTATTTGCTCACAAAATTAGTCATGATATAACCGAAGCATCAACAAACATAATGCATGTTAATGTTCACATTAGTGTCCCTGACATATGAATTAATGTAATGCAGCAATTGAATAGTTTTGTCTAATTTAAAAATTATTTTTCTCCTCAAATGTGACCTTTGCTGTATGATAATGAAATCATGACGTCCATAGTCATTGATAAATCGAAAACTTCAATGAGAAAATTTGATCGTTGTTTTGGAGTCAAAAAAACACATCGTAAATTCATCAAAATAAGTCTATCTGTTTGGTTGTGTTTTTTTCATTAAACTGTCATTTATATGATATTATAATAATGATTTTTTCGCTTAGATGCATACAAGTCTCACATTTATTTTTAGAATGTCATGAATATTAAGATTACAATGCAAATAAAAAAGAAGGAATTAGAATTCGAGTAGGAATAGATAAGGTTACAATGAAATATCAGGAACGATTGCTCTAGAATAATGGTTAACATAGCATGGTTACTAAGATAGAAACGCATGCAATCAAGATCAGAGATATTCATCGTAGCTGAAAGCCTGCCGATACCACATCGTGACAAACTATTACAAGAAAAAGTTGTTACTACTGCGATGATATTCTAAAAAAAAGTATTTCAAATTACCCTGCTATGACTATACTACACTAGAACTATTGTTACTAATCTATAAGATTTATCGAGTCTCAAATTATTACATTTGTAAATGCTCGAAATTCTGTACAAAATTCATTCAATTTTGTAACTATTTCCTGAATGTATGCAGATTAATATAAATTTTACAAGTTGAAAAAGAAAATTCTTTTAACCTTTTCTTTTTCAGTTGTTTATATATTATCATGATTATAAGAATTTTTATTCATTGTCAAACATAAAAGTTTGTTATTGATTTTAATTGCATATTAATCAATGCAACAAAATACTATTAAAAGAAAAAACAAAACTGATCGAACAATTTCCTTTGATATATATATTCAAGTATTATTTCTATGATTTCCGTATTTTGAACGATGAGACTTTCTTTTTTTTTTTTTTTTCTTCTTACATCTAATTTCCTATTCATATTCAGTCTTCTAACTCAACAATGTCCTGTTCTTTGTATTATTATTCGCTATTATATTCAAATAATGTTTTCTTTTATACTCAAGTAATCAAAACCTTTTTTTGTTTTCATTCAATAAATCATAATAATCATTTATTTTACTAAAAGAAAAATTTTTGTCCTAAAAATACATTTATTAAAATCTTTTTCTCTTCAATAATCTCACATTATCATTATCAATGTGTAGGAGATTATTGATAATAACAGTTCTAATTATATTATTAACAAAAGATCGGTGTATATTTTAAGAAAAATTATGTTTTCATTGACAATAAGCATACATGCCAAAATGCTTTATTTTGTTCGTTTCTTTTTTTTTTGTCTCTTAAAGTCTTTTTTTCGTCACATTCTGTTTGGTTTTTGTTAATAAGATACAAGTGAAAGAAAGAGAAAAAAAAGTGAAGAAAGTGCGCTGATAAAATTACAGTTCATCCACACACTCGCAGTTCAACACACACACACACACACATATAATGAATAGAAGGATGATAAATGCACGAACAATAAATGAAATAATTGGACGTTTCTGAACAAGAACATTTCAGTATACATATATATTTATATATATGGATTACAAATGAACAAAAGGGTTTTCTTTTTTTCTTTTGACGACAAGACGGAAGACAAGCGGTGTGTATTATCGCCTTAAAGGGACAAAGAAAACAAATGTGAAATTAATTTTTTTTGTTTTTAGTTTTTGACTAGAAAGAAGGCAAATCAAATTGGTTATTTTTTTAATTTGTGAGCTCATTTCGACCTGGACTGCATCATAAATTGATTTTTGTAGACAAAAAAAAATCAATGATAGTTGTCGATGGAATGAGACAGGTGACATTGCACAGAAGAAGAAAAACGATACATATACATATTGATGAGATAGACACACGCATACACACAACAAAAAAGCATCAAAAAAAAAAGAAAGAAAGTAAGAGAAAAAATGACTAGATAGCAAGACGATGAGCAATCTTCAGACGTGTAGATTCGACTGTTGGATCGTCATTTATTGACGATGTTACTGAATAAGGTGAAGTTGTTGGATTTACTCCTGTTGGAGGATTTGCCAACGATATATTTGATGTTGATGAAAGAGATGAAATAGATGAAGAAGATGATTGTTGTTGTTGCTGTTGAACTGGAGTAATATTAGGTTTTACATCTATATTATACAAGAATTATTTATCAATAGATATTCTCAATTATGTACATATATACAGATGGATTGATTAACAATATGCAGAATTATAGTACTTCCGAGTATAGATTCATTAGATAAAAATTTTCTTAGCTGAAATTAGATCTGAGCTTAGATATTAATCTTTATTTGAACCGGAAGTATAGTCCGTCGGATGCGGAATCTAAAAATTTTTAACCCGATGGGCTCTAGTCGTAGGAGAAATATGTAGGATGCACTAATTATGGAATAGGAATAATCAAGAAAAACAACATCTTGTATCTTCGAACACTGAATCCCAAAAACATTTAATAAATCGCATTCGAATTTCAAAGGCGTTCAATAAGCCACGTCTGGCTTCGAAAATTTTGGATTTTTCAAGCTTCATTGAAGTTATAAAGTTCGCTATTCTTTTTACGTATTTGATCTTCAATCAATGAAGACTATATTAGGTTCCAGTGTAAATAACATTCATTTAGTTTTTTTTAACAAAAAACGTTTCAGTACTTAATTACACGTAATCTTGAAAAAGATACAGTACACATTAATTATATTCCCCTTCCCACTGTTCTGAGAAGCTTAAAATATAATCTGTAGGCATTACATTTCAACTTCAATACATCCTATGTTGTCTGCTCGACTTTTTCTAACCTTTACACAAAAGAGCGAGGATATAATTTTGTATACATTAGGTCGAGGAAAAAGTTACTGTCATTACTATTTTTGTTTTAGCATTAATTTTCTTTATATTCTCTGTTATATTTTTTATCTAAGCTATTTTTCGAAACAATGTTCAGTATTGATATGAAACCAAATAAAAAAACTAATATTTTGATAAAAATCTCTAATCAAATAATAAAAATGATCATCAAGGGTAACTGTCAGATAAAAAAGAAAAAAATAATTAAATTTACTTGTTGAATTTGTTGTATTACCAAATAATGATGAAATAAATGAAACATTTGATCTAGGTGTCATTGGTGTATTTGAATTCGTTGGAAGAGGATTTGTTGCAGCTGTATTAGTTGAATAATTACCACTAGTTATAGATCGATTTTCATTTGTTTGTTGTTGTTGTTGTTGTTGTGGTTGTGGTCGTCGTTGTTTAGCTAGACGTTCTTTACTTGTTGTAAAAAGTATTTGAATTTCTTCACATAATTTTTTAAAACGTCTTGCTTGTCCTATTGAAATGAAAATAAAATTTTCATCTATAACATTCATATTTTATTCTTACCAGTAATAAGTGTAAATGTAACATAATATGTATCAGGTGATGATGAATCCATTGATTTAACTGTACAAATTTCTACATGAAAACGTATATTACGTTGAAACATTGATGAACGATCTGGTCGACGATATTCACATCGATATTGTGTACCCGATAAAACATTATGTACGAGATCAGGCGTCTTTAATAATAATAAAAAAAAAAAAAAAAAGAAATTTTTTTTTTCTTTTGATTTTTTGACTTACTGATAAAAATGCATGTATAAGATCAGTTTTAATAGCTGCTAATGGTCGATCTTTAACAACAATCATATGATGATCTTCTTGCATAGCATCAATAATGTGATGAAATAGAGATTTTTTTGTTGCTTCAGGTGTTGTACCATATTGTGATGGAGAATTTGATGTTGTTGAATTATCACTTTCATTTACTTTAAAAAAAGAATAATTTATTTTTTGATTTTTTTTATAAATTATTAACTTACATAAAATTTTTGGTCGTCGATGAAATCGTGGTGTACCAACATTTTGAAAACTTTGTTTTAAATTATTTAATTTATGTCTCCATTGATTATTATTTGGTGTTTGAGGAATATTTGTTTGACTTGGTGGTGTATATATAAGAGAATTATTATTATTAGTATTATTATTTGAAATAACTGATGGTGATAATTCGATATTAATTGATTCGGATGTTTGAGGTATTGATAATGGTAGTGGCGGTAGCGGTGGTGGTGGTGGTGGTAGTGGATATTGTCGTCTTGATGGTTGAGATGATTTTGTACCATTATTAATTGTAGTTTCTGTATTAACTGATGAATATGATTGATCACTACTTATTGTTATTGATTGTGTTGATGGTTGTGTTGTAAGAATATTTTCATTTTGTGATACAGTTGATGTATTACGATGATGACGATGAATTTGTGGTATCTGAGTTGGTTGATTTTCCGTCGATGTTTTACCAGTAGTTAATGCTGTTATTTTTGTAAAAACATCTCTTTTTATAATTGTTGGTGATGAACATGGACTAACTGATGGAGTATTATTAGCTGATATTGTTTTATTACTAAAAAAAAAAAAAAAAATATTTAATTAGATAAAAATTTTATTGATTTGATTTTAAAAAAATTATCTCAGTTTGAATGATTGACTTGTAAATATTCGAAAAATCAATGATTTATTGAAACTCATCAAATATTTAATGGCAAAAAAATATATGGGTGAATGGTTAAGCTGAGCATTTTATTTTGATATCTTTTTTTTTCTGGTTTCTAGATATTCAAGTAATCCTTTTTTCCTGAAAAAAAATGACTTGAGAAGTATTTTTAGAATTAGATATTTTTTTTTTTTTTTATATCCTGAAGAATCATACTAAATATTTATGAATGAATCTATTTCAACCAATACAAAACAAAGATAATCAAGGTTTTAGACACACGAATCATTTCGTTATACTGTATAAATTATTCAAAACTGTACTATACGACAGTATATATAAAACATGCTTTTTTTTTGTCGTCAGAGACGAATAAAAAAACGTCCTTGATATTCGTTTAGTAGTTGAGTACAACTTCAATTTTATGTCACATTCACACTAATTACTATGATAAATGTACTAATTATATGTGTAAGTGTCACTAAACTGCAGATGAATTAGCAGGTGTTCCACTGTATCTCATTGTTTTGTATAATGACATTCGAATTGTTGTTTTGCCTTCTAACATTAGATAATGTCAGAAGATAGAACACTTTTCGATAGTGAAGGACATCAAGTTTAATATTTTCACATATTTACAGTTGATAAATCTGCTAAACGAATATCAAGTACCTTTTTAATCTCAGTGAATCAATAAAAATCAAAAATATGCAACATCAAATTTATGATTAATAATGAAAATTGACAGTTCAATAACTAGTACTTATATATAAAATCTAATCTAAATTTTTGCTTGTTGTATTCTTCGAAAAACTTCTTTCTTTCTTTTTCTAAAACATTATTGTAGTTGATCGTAAAAATTGCCTTCAATAGATATGATGTAATTTTTTCTATCTAATTTCTTCTATATAGATTGGAAAAATTCATGGTTGATATTATCATATGCATGAAACTGATGATAGTCGTTATTCAATACAACTATCGGAGTACAATATAAATTATAAATCATCAAATGTCGTTAATTTCTTGAAGGCGGAAGACGTATATATATATATACGTCCGCTTTCGAATCAACACCTAATTAATTTGCGCATATCTCTTATGGTGCTTTTATAAACTGCGATAGCATCCAGACCATCAACCTGTTTCACTACTATTCGTATTATGATATTATGAGTCTCGTTGCAGAGAAGATTATCAAATACTTTTAAATATCAATATAAATAAATATATCCCGTCAGGGTTTTGAAAGTTTCCTTTTCTTTTTTTGACGATTTCATCACACATGAGTTAATTTAAAAACTATATCCTTACTACTTTTCGATCTATATGATTTCTATGAATACGACTTATCAAGTTAATTTTTACCTTATATTTGAATAGAGTTGTCGTCTTGATACTAATGGTGAACCTTCAGCAAGTTGACTAACAGCACCCGATCGACATGCATTAGGATTTGGACTTTGTCCAGTACTTGTTCCATTTGAACGATGACGATCAACACGTTTTTGTGGTACATCGGCTATAATTTAGAAAACAAAAAAGAAAATTTTTTTTTTCTTTCTTTTAAATTTTCAATTAATTCACGTGAACCAGAACGACTTCGTTGTTTTGCATCTTCTACATCGTCATAACTTGGTTGACGCATTTTACGATCAAGTAAAAGAAAATAAATGACTTTTTCTGTATTATGTCTAAAACAAAAGACAAACATAAACAATCATTTTTGTATTATTTTTTTTTTTTACTTTGAATTTAACAAAGCTTCAATTAAACGTTGTCGATCTTTAAAACAACCTAATGATGTCATTGCTGCAAATACATCTGCATCAATATCTTCTTCATTCGGAATGATTGTTGTCTTTTATAGAACAAAAGAAAGAATAATATAAATAAATCGATTTTTATATTTCATACTTGAACAACTTGTACCATTGGTAATTCTAATTCTAGTTCAGCTTTTGTTCCTCTGAACAATACAAAAGATAATAATAAATAAAATTATTTCCTTTAGAAATAAAACCAAAAACAAAACAATATATTCATGCAAGCAAGCAAACGGATGTTTTTTTTTTCCTCGTTCGACACCATTGTTACAACATCTACGAAAAGGGATACCAGAAGCATGCTTTGAACATATATAACAGCAAATGAGCAAACAAACAAACTTAAAAATAATAAAACATCACGAACATAGATGTAGGATGATGTGTTTTTCTTTTAATTGATGATGAAGATGTACAACGATTAGACGATATCGGTACACGATTACGACGATGAATAGGTGTATGTTCACTATTTACGTACTGTGTAACCCATGAATGTCGACTAACATCTTCCAACTGTAAAAATCATTTATTAATAAAGAAAAAAAAAAAAATGATAAGCAAGCGAGCATTGAGCGTACGAAAAAGAAAAAATGAATGAGAAAAAAAAAAGAAAACAAAATTTGTTTTTTGTTTTCATTTTCAATTGAAAATCTAATAATTACCGTTAGTCGTTTGTTTGGATCAACTTCAATCATTCCACGTAATAATTGTTGACAATCAACTGGAACAAAATGTGGTATATGAAAAACACCTTTTTTTACTTTTTCAAGTAATTGTCGAAGATTATCATCATCGAATGGTAATGCACCCTACACAAAATAAAATTTATTTATACGAAAACAAAACAATCAAGAATTCAGTTTTTTTTTGTTTTCGTCTTTACCACAAGTAAAGCATAAAGAATAACACCACATGACCAAACATCAGCTTTTCGTCCATCATATTTTTCACCCTGAATATAAATAAAGTTTGAAAAAAATTAAATTCTATCAAAAAAAAAAAAAAACCTTTACCTTAATTACTTCAGGACAAGCTAAATAAATGATGAGGAAAAAAAAAATCATTAGTTTTTTTTTTTTTTTTTGAATTTAAATTAAATGTTTTCTTTTTACCATAATGTGGTGAACCACAACTTGTTTCTAAAAATGATCCTTCAACTTGTAATGATGCCATGCCGAAGTCAGCTACACGAATATTCATTTTATCATCAAGTAATAAGTTTTCCGGTCTAAAAAAAATATAAAATAACAATCATGTTTTTTTTTAATTTTCCCCTTACTTGAGATCACGATGACTAAAAAAAAAAATAAATAAATAAAAAACATAAATTAATAAAACACTTTTTGTTTTAACATACCATATCATGTGACTATGACAAAAGTCAAGTGCAGATATAATTTGTCGAAAAAATTTTCTTGCTTCTTTTGGTGTTAAACGACCCTTTTTTACAAGATAATCAAAAAGTTCACCACCAGCAACATGTTCAAGTATAAGATACAAATATTTTCGACTTTCATATACATCATATAGACGTAATACATGTGGATGTTCGATTAATTTCATTATAGCTATTTCTCGTTCAACCTACGAAAAGAAAAAGTGTTTTTTTTTTTCTTTAAAAAAAAAGAACGTTGTCTTTTTACTTTCATCAACACGGATTCGGATAGAGCTTCACGATTAACAATTTTAATAGCAACTTTTTCTCCAGTTAAATAATGAACACCCAATTTAACAAGTCCTATGAAAGTATATAATTAATTGACACAACATAGAATAGGTATATTTATACCTGTTTGGCCTTTGCCTAATGTTTTTTGTAGAAGATATGGTCCAACATATTGAGATGTGCGTGGCGGTGCTGCCGTATTTGATGTTTTCACATTGAACGACATTGCTGAAATAAAAAAATTTCTACTATTCAATCATAAATAAATAAATTTAACTTACATTTTGATTGAAGGAAAATAAAAATACAACTAAACAACTATCTATCAGCTATTACACATTATTTCTATAAACAGTAGACTACTCAAACATATTTCGATGATCATTAAAACAAGATGATAATTTTCTTTGGATATAATGGTAAATTATGGATATCGTTCAACCATAATCATCTTAAATAATCTCTTGATCAAAATGCATAAAACACTTAATGTAATACATTTATAGAAAAAAATAAAAAGATTTTCTTTATCAAAAAGCTTATTTATTTTTTTGAAAATTTTTTATTAAAATAAAAATATTCTTATCTTTATCCTTTATCTTACAAATATCTCAACATTCTATGACCTCTCTAACGATGTTCGTTCGGTTTTTGCTTAGTGCCTAAATTCTTTCCGATATCTTCTCTTTCTATCGATACTCGTCCTCCTCCTCTTCTTCTCCTTTTTATCGGTCATCGATATTTTACTAAGACATACAAGCATTTTTTTTTTTTCGTGTACGTTAATAACAGAAAAAAAAACTAACAAAACTTAATCATCAAAAAAGCATAAAAAAAGTTTTTTTTATTTACTTTTATTTTTTCTAGATGCAATTTTCGAATTTGTGACAATAGAATCGAAAAACAACAACAACAAATATAAACATGGTGCTTGAATTTGATTATGGTGTTAATACAGGAAATCGTTTTCTTGAATTTGTTGATCACGATGAAGAACCTGAAGTATTTATTGCTGCACAAACAAAAGATGAAGTAAAACAAAAAAAAACTTCAACAAAAGATGCAAAACAACCAACGAAAAAACCTACAACTAAAACAACAACTTTAACAACAACAACGGCGAAAACTAATAAAGAAAATTTAACTACTAAATCAACTAATGTTGATCAACGACGACAACAATCAGCTACTGTACCAGCTGTTTTTAGTGATAATAACAATCAACAAATACGTGGTGATAGTGCTCGAGGTTTGTTTATTATTTATTTAGAATAAAATTTATTTATTTATTTTTTTTTTATGTAGGCTCTCGTGGTGGTTCAAGAAGAGGTGGACCACCTTTTGAAGGTGCTGGTCGTGGACGTTCTCAACGTTTTAATAAATTCGAAGGACAAGGTTCATCATCAACAAATGAACCATCTTCATTAGATCAAGGTGGTGATACATGGAGTAATGAAATAGGAACTCGTGGTGGTGGTCGTGGACGTGGTGGACCAAGACGTGGTAATTTTGAAGGAGGTCGTGGCGGTGGTATTGGCCGAGGTCGTGGCCGTGGTGGACGTGGAAACTTCAATAATCGAAGTCAAGAAGAAGGTTCACAACAAGAAAATAGTGGTTGGCAACAAACTGCTGAGTACGTTAAATAGAAGAGAAAATTAAGAACTTTACTATTTACTAAAATTAGATTTTTCGGCTATATTGCCAAGGGAATATTTAATTGATTGAGATTATCGGCATTCGATCGATTATAATGAATAGTAAAAGAAATCTGATTTTTTCTTCTTCATTTGTTGAGTTGTAAGCGTTTTTATTCGATGTTCGATACATGAGCATCGAATATTGAGTAGAACTTTAATGATCGAATTTCACGCTGAAAGTTTGTCTATAGATAGGCATTATAGTAATTAGAACATCTTCAAAGTTTGAGCTAGGTCAAATCTATTCTTATCGACATATCAGCTTATCATAGAAACGTCCTTCTATTGACACATACCCCAAATAAAGGCGTTTCTTCAAAATATAAATAATAACTTGGCAAGGATGCAATCGTTTTGTCTCAAATTTTGAAGAATTCTTATCGACAATAAGATCTATTTAAGGAGAAAATTATCAGCAATATCCTATGCTCATAGCTTTAAAAAGTCAAGTAAACACCCATAATTCGGCAAGTGATGATGGAACCAATCAGACTTTTGTTTTTTTTTTACTACTCATTGTAACCGATAGAAAGACAACAGCCTCAAGCGAAGAACCATTTAACAGTATCGAACATTCCCTCATAAGTATAAAACACTAGTTCAACTACTATAGAATCAAAATCATACCTAAAGTTTAGTTTTCATTCAGAGAAATAAACAGACCTACAAAAAGAATTATTTCGTACGAATACACAGTAGGAATTATAGTCATTAGAAAGAATTTCGTCTATTAATGTCTACTGGATGCGAATCCGATCGAATCGTACTTAGATATTCACAATGAAATTTTGCAATTGAAATTGAACAATCATTCAAAAGATTGAAGAGACTTTTATCTAATCGATGCCAAGAACATCCTACATATTTCTTCGAGGACTGGAGTTCATCAAATCCGCTACCAATCCAATTACTTTCCTATATGAAATTATCAAAAGATTAAATAAAATTCCAAAAAGTCTAACAGATAATGATTAGTTTGTGTATGTGTGTTTCATTATTGGATTTCTATGGGAATTAAAATAGAGTTATTATTTGTTGCATTTTTTTCTTTAGATCAAATTTCGAAAGTACTACTCGTCCACAACCAAATCGTGATTTGGATCAAGAAGTATCACCAGCAGAACGACCATTTGAACCTGATAATACACGACGTAATCCTCGAGGTAATTTTCGTGGTCGAACATTTCATAGCAATCGTAGCTATGGCGATCGTGAAAGTGTTGAAGGTGCTCAAGATGATTATCGAGCTAATCGTCGTCAAACTGATCGTCAACCACGTTCATTTGTTTCGTAAGTTAATAAAAAAAAAAAAACAATCAAACTGCATTTGTGTATTTTTGTTCTTATAGAGGTGTTAAACCAATTGAGAAAAAAGATGGTGAAGGTGCACATAATTGGGGTAATCCAACAGAAAATCCTGAAGAACATCCAATAACAGAGTAGGAAAATGCATTTAAAAATAAATTCTTAATTTAATTTTACCAAAAAAATTTAGTGAAACAACTGAAGCAACAGGAGCAACACCAAAAGATTGGGCACAACAAGTTGATGAAGCTGAAAAACAAATGACATTGGATGAATATAAAAAACAACTTGAAGCAAAAAAACGTGCTTATCAAGAAAAATTACCACAATTTAATACACGTGTTGCTGGTGAAGGTGAAGATCCAAAAAGTTGGCATAAATTTGAACAAGAATATCGAAAAAAAACTGATGATGATGATGAAGAAGAAGATGAAGATGAAGATGGTAGTGGTATTGAAGGTTAATTTAATTTCTATTTTATTGAAATTTAACTAAACAATGTCTATTTTATTTTTTTCTTATATTTAGAAAATGAAAGTGGTGAAGAAGTTGAAGAAGAACATTTGAGTGGAAAGAAAAAAGTTATTACAATTCCACTTCGTTTTAAACCAATCGAACTTTCTCGTGGTTCAGCTGGTTCAAGAGGTGGACAACGTCGGGGTGGAAATCGTTTTCGACCAAATCGTGATGAACAACAAAGATGTAAATTTAAAAAAACAAAAAGAATAATTATTATTATTTTTTTTTTTCTTATTTAGCTACTTCACCAACTCAAGGTCAAAGTTCACCAGCATCTCAACAATATGATGAACAACAAAGTTCATATCGAGGTGGACGTCGTGGTGGTGATTATCGTCGTCCTACTCGTGGTACTCGTCAAGGAGGTCGTGCTAACGCTGATCCAAATGCACCAGCACTTGACAATCCAGAAGATTTTCCTACTCTTCCCAAACAGTAAGAAAGAAACATACACAATGGTTTAAAATTGACACAAAATGAAAACTCTACTCCTCTTGCGCATTTCATCTCTTTAAGCTATTCCTAACTTCTTTTCTTTCTTCTTCTTCTTTTTTTTAGTTCAAAACAAACATACGTATAACACATACTCTAGAACAGTTTGTTTTTTCTTTCTCCTCTTTTTTTTCTTTTCTTTTTTGCATGATCGTTGTTATTTGTTCCTGTTAAACCATCATCAGAGTCTGTTGCATGGATTGACTGGCATTCTTTTTTTCTTCTGGTTCGTTTGTTAAGATATTAACCTTCTTTCGTAGGTATTTTTCCCTTTTGCTGTTGTTATTGTTGTTGTGGATAGCGTATTGCACTTCAACAATTGAGATATCTTTTTTGTTGTTGTTGTTACCTATGTTTGTTTTCTTTTCTCTTTTATTGTTACGACCAAAACATATGGACGTTCGTTACTACCGTAGCAAAGTTTTTCTTTCTTTTCTTTTTCTTTTTTTTTTTTTTTTGATACGGTTTTTTTTTCATTTTCTTGTCATTCACACGCCACTAACTTTAGAACATTAACTCATGCACACGGAAAACTTCACAGTTACGTGTGCGTTTCTTTGCTCTTTTTTTCCTTCTTGGGCTACCGCCGATGCAGGGTGTGTGTGTTTGTTGCTGAAGTTCTTTCTTTTCTTTTTCTTTTTTCTAAGATTAAATACAAAACTAAACATATCTCGAGATTAATATATCGTTTAGCCGATGATGATTTAAAATACCAATCAAGCTCAACAGTCATGAAAAAATAATGTTGAGAAGGTATTGAATACTGAGGCTGGAACAAATACATATATAAACATATGAAAAATTAACAAAAGATGTTGACAATATTTCATTAAATTTCGATGAAACATTCTACAACAAAAAAAACACAAAGCAGTAATTTTTATCATGATTTCATGATTGATATTTGCAGCTTGTTTCATTCATGTATGATGATTATTTATAAATGATCTTTTTATATTCGTGCCACTTCAGAATATGTTGGTCTTGCAAAGAAAATACAGCTGACTATTTTTGTTGATATAACTGATAGAGTCAAGAGACTGATTACATTAGTATAGAAACAAACATTTTAGTTGTAACCTTTTAGTATAACTACATGAGAGATCAACATTTCTTTTTCCGTCGTTCTTCATCTATCAGAATAATGATAATATCCTTTGTTTCTGTTATTTGACGACAATAATTTCTGGTTGAATCATTTTATTGTCAATTCATATCATATATATGTTTTTATAATTTACAAACTTCTCTAGAAATAATCTCATTCATATTTAATTAAATAGTCAGCATAGGCTTGTGCATCATGATAAACAACAAAAATTTCATTATTATCCGTTGTTGAATCATATCCTTTTGGAGGTACTTTCATTGATGAATTTCCAAAAATAGATTTTCCAACAAGTACTAATACAACAAACATGCAGTGTTCATTAGCTTGATTTAATCGAGTATAGCTATGGCTATATTTAGCATTAGTTGCAAAATAAACACCTTGTCCATAGACCGTACCTAATATGAAAATTATGATTGATTAAACATATTTAATAAACTTACCATTAACACCAGCATATGATCGATTAAAACATTCTTCAACAATACTATTTGCTGAATCTTCATTACAACCATGAAATAATATTTTTTCAGTGTCTTCTTTTAAACGTTCATTCATTGCATCACGATGTGCTGCATATTGTTTATACCATCGTTGATTTTGTACACGTTCAATAGATTTTATACATGTATAATTACCTAGCATAGTTAGATCAAATTTTTCTTTAATATTTTTATATTCTTCTAAATGTTCACTAAGAATAAAACGGCAACAATTTATTGATTGAAATTGCCAATTAGTAGGTAAACTATAACTAGTTAAATTTTGTCGTTGTATATTACGAATACGACTATTAAATATTTCTTCTTTTTTATTAAAATCAATAATACATGTTTCAGATTGTTCATTAGTAATGTTAACCTAAAGAAAAAAAAATCATATTAATATGATCGTACTTGATATTCAATTATATACGAACTAAGGATAATTTTTTAAAAGTAAATGCATATTCAATTTCAGCATTACATTTATATGAATAACTTTCCCATGATGTTGAAGAATCTATTTGATATTTCCAAACAATATTACGTGAAACAATATCTAAATGTGTTTGTTTTAAAGCTTGTGTTGTTAATTCAAGAAAATATTTGTCTGCATCATCAATAGATTTCTTTTCACCGATTAATATAACTTTTTTTTGTTCAAAATTAATCATTGGCCATATATCATGATCCAAACAATATTTATAGAATATAAAAACTAATTGTTGGGTCCAAATATCAAGATTTTCTTCATTTTCTCGACATTTCATTTGTGTACATATATTAATATGTGATTCAATATCTGATAGACATTTTTTTAAATTTGTTTCTTGTTTAGCAGTAAATGTTAAAGTTAATTCTAAAATAAAATCAAAATATTTTTAAAAACTACAAGTAAAATTTTAATTCTTTTCTTTTTGATATAGAAAACAAGACATGTGTATTGACTTCATGTTTTACATATATAAGAAGTTCAAACATCGAATAGAAATATTTACGTCATGAGTTTTCATATACAAATGATTGTAGACGATCAAGATACAATGGTTTTCGCTTTCAAAACGGTAGTCATATATGACGGCATATCCTGTGTCTGTTCATTACTAGAGATGTGGGGGATTCAGAGTTGTCGATATATATTTTGGCAATAGAGGAGCTAAAAGTTCTTGCAGAAAGTACTTTCATCTTCAGAGTTTTAGAAGCGGTGACCAGGAGGGGGAATGAAGAAGGAAGAACAAAGCGTATCGTGGCCCAGTCTTTCTTGCAATAGACGAATTGCCACTGGGTCGTCTCTTCCACAGAATCTGTTTCAATCCTATTCACCTCACAAAGATATTGTCTACTTATTTTTATTTCACTGTCTGCCAAAGAAAGACAAATAGAGTTTGAAAATCCCGTATCTGTCTAAAGTTACTACAAAGCTTTTCAAAAATTGTCAGATATTCAGGAGAGGGAAATCCCTTAATTGAGAACCTTGATTGGATTAAGTTCTTTTGGTTTCAGTCTGATCATTATTGGGATAAATCTAAAGCCGGTGATTTTAGCTTTTTGGATTTTGGGTCCCGGTCAGTGTGTTATAGTTTCGGTTGAGACAACTTTTTTTCTCCTAGTATTAGTCCTTCTGGCTCTAATCAGTTGTCTTTAAGTGACAAAATTGTGCTAAGACTTTTGCACTATAAAATATTTTCAATAATTAGACATTCATTTATTTCTTCATTTTTATTCATGTAGCTTATATCAAATAGATTGTGAAGAATAAAGTCTTTGAATTGAAGAGAAATCTTCATTCTTCTGTTGTTCAACAGCTCTCTTTAACAATTCATTATAATCATCGTTTTGTACCTACTTGAGAATGAATACTGTACAGAACCAAATGGTTCTGATGGACTTTGTATTAATGCTAATCTATTAGCAAATCCTTGATGTACATTGAATTGATTAGGAAAAATGACGAATGATACTGTAAAATAAAGCATAGTTTCTTTAAGTTTTGCAATAGCTGCATCAATCATTGCTTGTGCTGCAATAGTCACTGGACATTGTATTAAACCACAACCAATAGCTGGAAATGCTACTGTTCTATAAACTTTAGGATGATAAAGAATATGATGTAATGATTTTGATACGAATTCAGATATTGAAGTCGATACAATTTTAGAATCTTGATTTAATGATGTCATCCAAGGAAGAAATAAAATTGCTTTACAATTTAAATTTCCAGGTCCGGTTTCTATTAAAGAATTTTGTTGATCAACTGAACTAGATAATCGGTTATATTCTTCTGTTACTACTAAACCGGCTTGTTCTAGAATATTCTTTAAAAGAATTTCTGACGTTGAACATACAACAATTACATCGACCTATATTATAAAACAGAGAAAACTTTCATATAATATTTGATCTTGTTTTTTTCAATAGTAACTAACATTTTGTTTGATTAAATCACCAGCCACCAATTGAATTGAACCGTTATGTACTGTTGCATTCATTACAATAGTTGGAAATAAATGTAAAACAGTTTGTGCTCGTTCAATATTGGGCATAGATAAATTTGTATTCAGTATTTTTGGAATAAGAAGTTCCTTGACAATTGATTCAATAGTTGGTTTTAACTCAGTTTTATGTGTTTGAGCTATTGATTTCATGTTTATTTGTTCCTTACGTAATAACTCACTAATATAAATAATACTTAATAATGTTTAACTTTTTCATTCGTTTTTCTTACGTAAGTACAAAACTAGGGCAAGCAAATATATCCGTAAAGATTTGCTAAAAATGAAGAACAAAAAGAAACATTTAAATAAATTCGTATAAAGATGTTTTGATATTAAAAGTATGCCATCTTTTTGACCATTTCTCCTGTTGTTGAAAAGAATACAACAGATTCGCATGAAGCTATCACCATAGATAGGCATCTAAAGTAATGACATATGTGTCTGAGGGAATAATTTCAAAGAAGGTTGTCCATAGGAACACATCGGACTGAAAATTTTTTCGAAGATACATTAGAATATATCTCAGAGATGATTTTAAACTTTTTCAAAAGCCTGGCTTTTTTCATGAGAGAAATACGAAAAAGTTTGCATTGAAAACTGAGGTGTTGGCATCTGTGATCAAAATTTCACTCCGTCGGATAAAATTAGACAAGAGTCGTAAGCAGATCCAATGTGATTTTATGAAGCGCCGAGTTAAATATGTTTTCATCGAACATGTGTCGTATTATTTTAGATGACTTATCTGTGGTAAAAATTTCATGCGGACCACTTATATTCTCTTCGAAAACTAGACACGGCCAAAATAGGCAGAGGGATACCCCAAACACGTGTATCGAAAGTTTTCCGACAAATTGTTTGT